AGAAAACTATAAATTATAAATATATTACATATTATTAAATATATATTAAATTTATTTAAAAATTAAATACAGTATCTAAGATCTAAAATACAAAGAACCTAACTCCGGAGCATCACCCGGGCCTAAGAGCTAGTAATAACCTAAAATATATCTTATTTTATACTTTAGATTTATTTTTACTTAAGATATTTTATCTGTTTTAACTTTAATTTATAGTCATTACTTGTATTTCTAATTAAAATTCTTCAACAGCTATTAAATAAAATTATATAGTAAAAGATAGTTTAATAAATATAAAAAAATATAAAAAAGTATAGCAAGACTTCTTATCTTTGTAATGCAACAATATTATTTAAACTTGTATATTGCAGTTTTTATATTTAATTTTTTATTTTAGTTTTACATTTCAAATATATTTTAGATTAAAAACTCTTTCTCTTTCCATCTACATTTGGTAGTGGAGAACAAAATAAACAAAAACTATTAAACCTTTATTGAAAAAATCTACTAAAAACAACACAAAGGCTAAAATCCTTGTGCCCAGAAAAAGAAAACAAGCTTGTTTAACTATGTCTAGTTCAGTGTCAATGAGTTACAAAAATAAAAAACCCAAATTTACAAGCCTTAAAGAAAAGTCTAGTCTTGGCTCTGATGATGTAAACAAAAAAATAAAACAAGAAGAAAACAACAGGTCTGATAGTCTTATTACTGAAAAAAAACAGGAAAAAAAAATATGCCAGAGGTCACTATAGAAACTCCTAAAAACCAGAAAAATAAAACAGCAGAACTTGAAGAAGAAGACTTGTCTTTAGTTACTTCTTTGAGCAATAAAGATCAAATTTCAGATGAACAAACAAAACAAACAACACATAAGATGCCTACATCCAATCATATAAACAACCAATCAGAAGCCTAGAATAAACAAACCAAACTGAAACAGTGGTCTGATCTTTTCTCAAAATTGGAAAAAGGAAAAGCCATATACTCTACCTATTTTCCATGAAAAAAAATTATTACCAAAAATGAAAATATGCTAATTTTTGAATTATTTAGTTTAGAAAACATTTTTATTACAAGAATCATAAAAGTTTTGGAACAAGAAATGAGAGAAGACCTGGTTACAGCCTGGCCAGTGATTAACAAAAACAAAAGAACCCATTTAGAGGTTGTGTTTTTAGATGAAAACAAACAACAGCAATATGCAGCTAAAGGTGTTACTGTCTTTAAACAGACCTTACAAGAATATATTCCTATAAACATCAGACGCAACTTCCTATCAGTCAGAATTCAAAATGCACTAATAGGAAAAAAGGAATTTATTTCAAAGCAGATTAGAGAAGCATTCCAAGATATTGGCATAATCTCATCGATTAAGCCACTGATCCACAAAGAAACCTCTATAATGTTAGACCAGTGGATTGTAATCTTTGAAATGACAGATGATCCAGATTTAAAAAGTCGAATTCCTAGATTTACATATGTTTAGAACCACAGAGTCACTACTGACTGGAGAGAGGTCCCAAAGATGTGCTTCTTCTGTGACAAAGCAGGTCATATAAAAAAAGACTGCCCAGACTACAAACTCTCAGTTGAGGCTAGAAACCTATACAAACTGTAAAAAGAACAAAAGAAACAAAAAAAAATTTAGCTCCAACAATGCATAGAGGAACCTTTTGAATTTAGTTCAGAAAATCCCTATACAAACAAGAAACTAAAAAACAAAAATACTATAAACAACTCTATGAAGAAACTTGAAACAATGAACACAGAAGATGAAAACATTATAATGCAAAATAAAACAACATTAGACACAGAGATATCAACAAGCAACAATGAACAAGAAAGTCAATTAAAACATCAAATGGAATCAACTAAGGACAAGCCAAATATGGAACATGAAAATGTACTAGTGGACTTACTTGCAAGTCTGTACAACAATGTATAGGCAAACAATACTGATCTTATAGATAAAGAGAATGAACAAGATTTTACAATAGTTTTCAGAAAAAAGCATAGAAATAAAAGCAGAATCACAATCCCAAAAGTAGGAAGAACTACAGTCCTAGGAACATCAGCTCCCTATACAAAAGCCAGAGGACTGCAATAGATATAACCTCAACCTCTACTTTTTTAAATTATTTTTTAATAGTTAAAAAAATCAAAATTGCATCACTAAATGTCAAAGAACTGAACAAAAAAAAAGCATACAAAACACTTATACTGTTAAAATCATACCACTTAGACATAATTATGATTCAGAAAACTAACTTAGAAAATATCCATACAAGAAACTTTTTAAAACAAATTTGGGGGTTTGACTCTTACTGGACCTCCAAAACAGCAATACTTACAGGAAACCATGATTTAAAGCTGAAAAATATTAAAGAATCCTACTATGAACGAGTAATATTAGCAAACCTTATACACAAACAATACTCTTTTTAATTAAACAATGTATATGCTCCTCCAAATACAGAGAACAGAGTATGGTTTTTTTAATAATTGGAACTTGCAACTTAATAAGAAACATATTAACATAGTAGCAAGTGACTTTAACACAAATCTGAATCCACAAAAAGATCACATTAGCCATGCACCAATTGCTAATGATCTTTCAAGAAAATTACTAAAAAAAATTACTTCAGACCTAATTAATACAGCATCACTATTAAACAACCAAGAACTTTTTCTTACTTATTACCAAAATACATGAGAAAATCATAGTATGGCTACAAGGCTTGATTACATCTTTATTGATGCCAATTACAACCAATACTGTAAATATACTACCATACAGTTTGGCAATTTAGATCATCTAATGATAAAATGTAAACTAAACTTCACATCTGAGTTACCTAGAGCCAAACAATAGAGATTTAACAGAAATTGCTAGCATAAAAAACAATTAAAAACAGAAGTAGTTGAGAAGATAAAGAGCTTTGCAGACTTCTCAAAATGGGATTTATCTAAATGCAAAATACAATCAATAATTAGAGCCTTTAGACCTCCTTCTGCACCAAAGAAGAAGATACAAAAGCTCCAAAAAGAACTAACTAAACTAAACAACAAATTGGCTAAGAAAAAAAGCTCAGAGTATCTTTTTAAAGCAAAAGAAGGCCTTAGCATACAACTTTAAAATGAGCTTCATACTCTTTCTGAGAAATGACAACTTAGATCCAATGCTAAATGAATAGAAGAAGGAGAAAAATTAACCAAATTTTTCTTTACATAATACAAAATTAAAAATACATCATCAGCAAAAGATAAAATTTCTCCACCAAACAACTTCGAACCAGACAATATTAACAGAACAGTTCAATATATAAGAAATACTTACCAAGATATATACAGAGCTAAGGAAATTAGTCAATATGAGGCTAATTTTTTTATCCAGAATCTTATTCTTATTATAATAACACAAAACACGTTACTTAAAAAACACATTACAGAAGATGAAGTCAAAAGTATATTGATCTCTCTTCCTAACAACAAGGCTCCAAGTTCAGATGACCTTAGCTACGAATTCTATAAAGATATTCAAGAAGAGATTATTTCTGCATTTACAAGTCTTTTTAACTACTGTCTGGAAACAGGCACTATTTCTAAATTATGATCCAAAAGCATAATCACACTTATTTCTAAAAAAGCAGAAAACTTAAATAGTGTTAATAACTGGAGGCCTATTTCACTAACTAATAGTGATGCCAAAATTTTTATGAAAATATTGGCTAATAGGGTTAATGAAATTTGTAGCTTAATTATTAGTTCATCACAACAAGCATTTATAAAAGGATGATCAATAGTAGATACAGCTTTAGATATAATTACTATTCTGAGAAACCAAGAGGACCAATCTCTCTCATACTGGCTTATACTATTAGATCAACAAAAGGCATTCAATAGAATAAGTCACAAGTTTATTATACAAGTACTGGAAAAAATGAACTTTGATGACAGCTTTATCAAAATTGTAAATACATTTTTTAGCTTACAGGTAGCACATATTGCAAATTCAGAGAGATTATTTGAGTCTATAAAGGTAGAAAGAGGAGTTCAGCAAGGAGACACACTATTACCTTTACTATATATTTTTGCTTTTAATCTTTTAATTTTTAAACTTCAAGAAAAGATTCAAGGAATCAAGCTTAGAAATCAATTCTTCAAGACAGTAGCTTATATAGATGACTTAACTATTGGAATTGGATTATCTACAGACTGGAATAAAGTCTTAATACTACTTGAAAAGTATGAAAAAGCAACTAATGCCAAGATAAACCAAGACAAATCTATTATAATTCCTCTTACAAGCATGGCACATAGTAAGAAACTACCTAATTAACAAAATTTTAAAATAGCCAGCAATAATGATTTGCTCAGAATTCTAAAATATGAAGTTGACTCAAGAGGCAATTCTAAAAAATGATTATAAGAAGAACTAACAGATAGTATTAAGCACAAGATTGAAAAGCTTAAACTAAGAAATCTCTTCTTTAAAGGAAAGATTCTAATTGCCAAAGCATTATTAATTTCAAAAATCTGGTACTTGGCATATTTGCTTTCTCTAAGCAGAAAACAGCTTAACAAAATTAATGTTCTTATTTCAGGATAAATTAAGAACAAGTCAAAAATATTATCTAAATACTCAACATTTCAGCTAAATTTTGAAAAAGGAGGGTTGGCAGCTTTGGTTCTTAAGAACATTTTAGACTCTAGGCTTACCTCCATCTGAATTAAATTGCTAACATCCAATAACTTTTGGGCAGAGCATGAAAGAATTGTAATCTCATAACAGTTGCAAAATAAAAGGAAAACAACAATTTTAGAAGCACTGAATCAAAGTACAATAAAACTAAAGGGTTGGCCAGATACTTGAAAGCTGTATTTAACAGTTTGAAAAAGACTGAAGAGCAAAGTTATTACAAACAACAACTGGCCATGGTCATTATTAGAGCTAGAAATATCGAATAAGTCAGGAAATCAATTTTCAGTCAAGAAAGTAACAAAGTTTTTAAAAATACGATCAATAAAGCCAACAGCCTCTTAATTACCATTAGAAGTACAAGAACACTCAATAGACCACTTCAACTAGTTATTTACTAAAGAAATTCAAAATAAGAAAAAAGATATATTTTGGAGGTTGCAAAACAGAGCCCTTCTACTTGGCTATCAGTTGGTACATATTAATTCAAATATAAATAAAAGCTGTCCTAACTGTAAGAATAAGAAGCAAACTATAGAACACTTCACTCTAGACTGTAGAATTAGTAAAATTATATAGACTTATGGCTACAAGCTTCTAAATATTTTATTAGAAGAAGCTTCTCTTACTATAATAGAAGAAATTTTTATTATATCTAACATCTCAAATATATAACTACGAAAAACAGCCTCATAGTTGCACTTGACAGTTATTTATGAAATTTGGCTATAGTATACCCAAGCAAGATGAGAAAATACTATCGATTCTGAAGAAAAAATTAGAAGAGTAATAGAAATTAGGTTAAAGAAAAATGTTAAAATTTTAAGCATATTGCATAAAAAAAGAAAGTTAAAAATAGCTAAATTCATTAAAAGAATCTAAGCTTTATATATATAAATAATATAATATATTTCTAGTATAATCTAATAAAAGCATGCCAATTCACGTTAAAAAAAAATATATATATATATATTTTAGATTGTATTAAAATTAATAACTATAATAGTCTATCATATTGTTTCTTATTTTAGCTTGTTTTTATTTAAAATATTTAATTTTTTTTTTGTTAAAGGCCATACTTGTAACAGTATTTTATTAACTTTTATTAGATTAGCTATTACAACTATTTTTACAAAGATGAAAGTATAACTAGTTATAAATACAACTTTTGGTTACCTATTTAAATAGTTTGCTTTAAAGTTCAATACTAGATGTCGTACCTATAATCTACTAAAAGATTATTTATTTAAATCTTCTGATCATCCACTCTGTTATAATGTAACCTCAACTTATCCTTATATATATTTAACTGATATACTATCTGAGCAGTATAGTACCTACCTTTTTTGTACTAGTTTGCAGGTCATTATATATTTCAGAGTATGTTATCTGCCAGTAAGATGCAGAGAACCTTTTGTTGTTAACTATCTACTTACTTTTAGAACACTAACAAAGGCTATTCTTACAGAGTTTATTCAGACTCTGGAACTGACTTCATAACATATTTCTAGTATTTTTAGTATATACTTGCTTTGAACTTAGACTCCCAATTCAGATAGCCTGAAAAAACTGTAACCTATTTTTGGTATATCGAGGCTAGCCTAATATCCTTTTCTTCTGATCCGAAATCTGGCAGCCTGGTTGATAGTACCTCTTATTCAAGATTCTTGTTTGCCTGATTTCTCTATATTGGTATCTATTTCCTAGGTCTAGCCTTTATAGTAGTATCATTGAAGATTTGTGTTACCTCTCTGTTCAGAATTTTCAAATAAGTTTCAGCTTTTCAGTTTTACAGATTTACATAGTTCAAGGACTTATTTTAGGTTTGTACCATCTAGTACTGGTTTGTATTCTTCAGTATAACCAAGATAACACAGATGTTCTGAACCTGTTAATTATGCTGTGTGACTATAGTTACAGGTATCCTATCACAACTAATCAACAGAATGCCATTGCTATAATATCATCTATATATTATATAGATGATTATTCAAATTTTATTATCAGTAGATTTTGAACTTACAACCTATCACTTAGGGGTATAACAACTTATTCACTTTACTAAGTTACTATATTCTTAAAATATTTAACTAATTTAACTGTTTTTATATAGTACTTCAAAAATAAATAAGTCTAATATTAATGATGCCAATTTTAATATTGATATTGATTATAACAAAAAAATTTTAAAGTTGCTTAGAATATTATTCTTTTTTATACTAAAACTTAAAAAAAGGCTTTTTTAGATCATCAAAAACTATTTTTTCTTATATTAAAACTTATAAAAAAAGTTATAATAAAGTTTATAATAATTGTCAAGAATTTTTAAAAAATATAGTAAAACTTATAAAATTAATCAGAAAAGTATTTTGGCTTAAATTAAAAGTTATAATAATACTAATAAAGAT